GCCAAGGAGATTCAGATACATTCCCACTCTGTCATTCTGTCCTCACTTGACTACAAATTTTAGTGACTTCAATACGCAGGGATTAATATTATTGTGTTAGGTACATGTTATACGAGATCATATTAATATTGAAATGTTTCTCTTAATTGTAAATGGGCTTTAAAAATATTTTGGAATGTAACTTGCTAATGTCGGGAATTTGCATCTATACCCGTTTTTAGGTCACATTTGAACTTATACCCGCTTTGCAATTTTTTTTTACAAAGGGTCCTACTTTTCGCATAAACTTCAGACATATGGGCCTAAAGTAGCAAAGACAATCACGCAAATTTCAGCATTCTAGTAGACGTGCCTGAAGTTGTTTGTAATTGCTGAACTTGAGCATTCTACTAGCTGAAATTTTGTTCTCTATTTGCTGAACATCAGCATGTTTTAGCTGAAGTTTTTGCCTGAAGTAACAAAGACAATCACGCAAACTTCAGCATTCTAGTAGACGGGCCTGAAGTAGCAAAAATTGCTGAACCAAGTGTTGGCTGAAGTTTATGTTTGTAATTGCTGAACTTAAGCATCCTACTAGCTGAAATTTTGTTCTCTATTTGCTGAACTTCAGCATGTTTTAGCTGAAGTTTTGTTCTATATTTGCTGAACTTCAGCATGTTTTAGCTGAAGCTTTGTTATGTTTGTGATGAACTTAAGGGCTGAAATTTATTTTGCATTGAAGATTGAATTTCTCATCTTTCTACTGATACAGTTTATAAAAATCCTTGTGATCTTTCTGGTTGGATACAAAGCATGTTATTTAAGCTCAACAACACTTCAGTTCCCTCTAATTTCGACATGATTAGTAGTATTGGAGAAAAAGATTTATGTGTATCGCCATATGGTGGTGCATCTTCCAGTAGTATATATTGCTATCAATGAGCAAAACAAAATTATTTCCGATGACGATTTGAGATGCAACAACAAGGCCAGTTGTACTTGTAGATTCATAAGAAACTGGTGTTCGCCTTGTGCACACATTAATGGCGTGTGCTGAAGCAATAAATCTTAAATCAATAATACTTACGTAGAGTCTCATGTATTTGAGAGAGAAAAGAAGAAGAAGAAGAGGAAAAGAAAGGAGGAAGAAAGGAGCGCACAAGTAGCAGGAAGAAGAAGGCGCCTGAAGTTGTAAAAATTAGGGTATAGATTAAATAATTTTAAAAATATAGGTATAGGTTAAATGAGGGCGACCAAATAGGGCGTCCTGTGCAATTTTACAGCTAATATCTTTCTTCATAGTTTACCTGAAGATTTTCATTTGTTTGCAATTGGGGGAAATATTTAGAACCTTGACAAAAATAGACACATCAGAAGTTCCATATAAGTTGCACTTCTCAGTGCAATTCCTGTCTAATTCACTAAAATTTTATGTATCGATTCTTGAACTCCTGTCAAGCTAAGGTAGGATATATTCATATGGGATTTTCTCAGATTTTACAAATCTTATACATGTTCCTTCTATTTCTCCAGTAGAGCTCTTCATCGCAATGCCTATTGTGTTGGCTTTTCAAAATGGAGACAAAATAAAATATCCATAATAAAAGGCGTTTAAGGTCCGTTCTTGATTCAACTCACTTCCATTACTATTATGTTATGAGGTCAATTTAAAAAAGCAACTAGAAAAATGGAAATAAGATGAAGTTTTGTTAATAGTGCTCCTACTTTGTTTGCAACAACCAATCAATGATGTCTTTGACTATATGAATTTATTCTCTATATACATTCGGCTCTTTTAAGTGTAAAAATATCTCTTCAATTATGATAGCAGTGGCGAAGACAAGAGTTTCCTCAAGGATGTTCATAAATTCCCGACAAAGAGTATTTAATATATGTTATGAACCTCTAAAATCTGATATTTTATCTATATACGCAATGTAATTTTTCGATAAAGAGTGGTGAATTGAGCACCCTAATTAACCAAAGTGTAGCTTCGGTAGTATGATAGACTAAAAGTAGCCTTGCCAAAGGTGCGTCCATGGTCCAATATGAAAAGGGAAAGATTCTTCTAAAGTTGATTGAATAACAAGAAAGGGTTACTAGAAGTTGTTCACATATGCTGACTTTTGATTGGATAGGTTTGGACATGGAATTTTGGGAAGCCCTAAGAACTAATGAAGACCACAAATAGCCACTAACTCACCTACCCTAACTTCCTTTTCAAACCATTTAGTGGGAGTGGAGAAATGGAGGTTTCTGCCTCTTTCTTGGACAAATGTCTGCTTTTCTTTCTTTGCTTTGTGGTGGCCATATGCCACAGCACGCTTTGCTTTCTCTTTGAAACTCAATCATAGCACCTTAGCACCCACTTGAAGCTTATGAGTCCACAAGTTATTATAGACCATCTTAGTTACTGAACTCGTAATCACTACTAAAAATTCGACAAAAACCGATCAAGAACCGGCCAAAAACCGACCAAAATTGATCGTTTTTTTAAAATATTTTATTTTTTAATTTTTTTTATGGAACCGACCAACTTTGCTCAGTTTTCTTTGGCGCAAAAATGCGAGAAACTATTTTTGAGTCCCGCAAAATTTATTTTTCAAGAAACCGACCAATTTTGGTCGGTTTTTGCAATTAAAATAAATAAAAATTAATATTAAAAAAACCGACCAACTTTGGTCAGTAACTTCGGCCGGTCATTTTAAAAAACCGACCAACTTTGGTTGGTTATTTTCATGCGAAAATACAATTAAAGAGTATAAATAAATAAAAAGACAATCTTAAAACAAAATGCACCAATGGTCTAGTGATAGAATAGTATCCTGCTACAGTACACATCCCGGTTCGATTCCTAGATGGTGAATCTTTTGATTACATGATTAAAATACCGACCAACTTTGGTCGATTTTTTTTTGCAATATTTTTTTTGAATTTAATTGTTGGTCGGTAATTTCCGACCAACTTTGATCGATATATTAAAACGATCATTAAAATACCGTCCAAGCGTATTTGGCTGCGTTTTGGTTGGTAATTGGCCATAACCGATCAAAGTTGGTCGGTTTTTTTGGTCGTTATTTACCGAGTTTCTAGTAGTGAATTAACTTGTAAGCAAAAGCTATTGATCAATATGGCCATTAGGTATAATACCTAATACCCTAGCTCCGCCCTTGAAATTAATAGTTTTATGCCTCTTTCCCCGTTCTAAAGTAAGGTACATGATGTCCCTGAGTCCCAACCGTTGTGTACGTATCTTAATTGTTTTGATTGATACTTGCTGCCTCCCGTCAATACTGATATTAGGCAATTTTAATTTTCTCACCAAGGGTCCAATCTTGCAATGCTCTTTAAAAATCGTCCTCTGACATTTCAGACGTACTATTTGCTTACTTATTTCTTACTTTTCTATCTTATTTTATATGACAATGTTTGTTTAAATACAAACTTTAAAAGTTTATTTTAACTTACGTAGTATATTAGTCGCACAAGACAAGTGTTATAGTAATACAATCCAAGGCATAAAACACAAGCCAAAGCAAATGCCTCACCTACCACTGTATTAACTCCTTCATATATAGTTTGCCTGAAATAGGAAATTCCAAAATTTTCATTTCACGTCAGTAGTTTAGGATAATATTATTGTCAAATGGTCAAACTTCTCGAGATATCTCAAATAAAAATAATGTCATTTATATTTGGAAGGATTGAGCATTACAAAGGAAAACTAAGCTCCCACCCTTCTAGGAAGGTTAAGTTCGGTAGGTCTATAGTCTATGTTGCTTGGACTCTCCAAAAATATTGTCGTAATTGTATTGTATCCTTCAAAAATTATGTATTTTTGAAGAACCTAACATACACCCGACAACATCTTTGAAGAGTTCGAGCAATGCTCTATCTTATTCTTACAGTTTTTTTCTTCTTTCTCTCTTTGTGCTATAGACTTCTTAATCATATATCGTTGTAAGTCATTAGCAATATTACAAAGTCCATCACGATTCTGCATCTTATAATTAACGTCCAACGAATAGGTGATGTTATAAGTGCTAATTAAGGAGGTGAATTCGTTGGTCAAATTAGGAACTCTTAGTCCACTTTCTTAGTGCTCACTTTGGAATGTGAATCGTGTCTAAAATTCTTTGCACTAGGAAATGGACACTATAGGTAAAGCAAGTCAATTTACTTCAACAGAATCAAATTTGAAATTTATCTAAACCTAAAGAGTTTTTACACTATTGATATATATATTTACCACCTCTTACAACATGTTCTTTTACTTTATTTCTTTGTCTCATCGAATTAGACTTGTTAATAGATTGTTACCGTTATTATTGGTTACTTTATAAAGATGTTTTACATTGTCAATGCACAAACGTTAAACTAATTTATGCGCTTCAGACTTTATCACCTTTATCGTTAGATGCTTACTATAAGCTTTCATTCCCTGAAATTTTGTATTCACTCAGATCTGCAGTTTTAGAAGTTTGTCCAAGATATGCTCGGCTTCGAATCTGAGGTTGAGGTCTAGCCTCTCTTTTCAGTGGAAATCTCGTCGGATCATCTGAAGCATGAACAAAATCGCCTTTATTCTGAAGGCCTACCGAGTTCCATTTTAACACAAATAATTTATGGGAAATACTCATATCCAACGATGATGCAAAATTTTTCTACATTATGTGGTCATGACCTTAAAAAGGGTGAATAATCAGTTGAAATCGATCCGGTTACACTTAACATGTGATAACTTTCTCATACTAGCCAATTAATAAAACTTAAATTCTATTGACAGAAACTGTTCTGCTCTAACAATCTTGATTGATGTTAAAAACATGTTTAACTCATATCAACTGCATTGTAGGTGGGTGGTTTTGTGATGAATACTACACGCAACAGAATTTACTTGTTAACTTTCTTTTCCAAGAGTTCCATGACAATATGACATCATTTAGTAACTAATAAGATGGTCTTTTAAGTAGCTCATGTAGCTGCAAAAAACCAAAGAAACAGCGAAGTATAGCAGGTAATAACATGGAACAGAAACAACATGAAAATCAACAACGAATTACACGGCGAAGATCTGAAATAAAGACATTGGTTCTATGTAAAATCACAGTATTTGACTGCTGTAAAAGAGTACTTGCAGCTTCCAAGCTACACCGTGAAGTCTGCCATGCAACACTTAATTTAGTAATGTTCGACCACATAACTAAAATATAGGTATATCATGTATAATGATGCAACTTTAGCCAACATCAAGATAACCTACCAAGAATTTCATAAGTAAAAACTAGCTTGAGCCCGGTTTGATTAAGCTTCTTATATTTTTGAAGCCTTAAGTGGCACGAATTAAGGTCCCAATTTTGAAGCTCATGGAAAGAATAAGGACCCAAGAGAACAGATAATAGAACCAGCACCAGGATGCCGCCGAAATTGTCTTCCCAGGAAGAATACTAACTACTGATTCCAAGCTAGCGGAGCTATCAGCATGCTGTGATAAGCCAAAAGATAGGAGAATGTTGTAATTCCCATGCTTGCCCACCAAGCCGTCTGTTCCATTGCCACCCATAGTCATGTTCCTTATTTGAATATAACCAGCCGTGACATGGATTGAACTGGATGCTTCTGAGGAAGAATTCATACGGAAAGCTGCATCTTTTGAAGGGAACTCTGAAGCAAATGCAGGAGGAGCAGGAATACCCCCCAACATGCAGCTTGCCTGCTTCATAAATGGATACTTATAATCTGCAACATCGAAAATAAGTAAAAAAGTGTTACCTTGAGAAAAGAATTGTGGTCGTTAACTGAAATTCGCATTAAGTAAATCTTCAAAGGCCAAAGAGTAACATATTCTGAAGTAAATTATCAGTGTAGAACACTTATCACTACCTGATCCAAATTTAGATGGTTCCAATTTCGAGGATGATGCAACATTGGTCTTCTGATCGGCAGGCTCTTCACTGGGTGCAACAGGTTGTTCAGCTACCTTGCCAATATTCTGTCATGAAAAGTACTAAGCTAAGCTTCAAGAAGACCAGAACAAAACAATTACATGAAATGGAGCTAGTAAGTAATGTTACCTTGTCAGCCAGAGATGCTAAGTCAGAAACATGATCATCACCTCCAGTCATCATCGGTGGATTGAAACCCATATTCTGGAAGTCATCGTCTGCATCAAAGAATGTAAGGTACTCCTCAAGCATGTCAAAACTTGACGTATCAATGGGTCTTGATAGATCACTAGCTTCAAGGAATGCTCCATCATTGGATTGAAGGGTATCAGTTGCAGTTTCAATTGGTTCATTAAGCAAGTAATCCACATCTTCAGAGTTCACATTCTTGCTTGGTTCACTCATGAATTCATGCTTGACTGGATTTGCATTCGCATTCTCTTCAATTGCAGGATCAAATGATTCCTGCTCGTCTGGTGGCTGAAGCCATTTTTCTGTATCTTCAAAGGAGTTACTTGTTCCCCCACTGTTGCTAGCATTTTCCTCGCAATAGCGGTTGAAAGGAGGTGGAGCACCATCCACAGGTGTGTCAGTCCCAAGAATCTGGTGCAACAGAAACATGCACCAAAATGAGAAGATACGTATAACCTCTATCCAACGTAGATAGCAAGTTTATCTAAATATAATTTTGTGTGAAACAGGAAACGAGCTGCTATCCTCGTTTTCTTTTATTTGGATGTACATAACATGATGACTCAAGATATAGCATCCAAAAGTTTCATCAACTCAGAGTTCTAACCCAACTTCATACAAAACTTTTCCTGTAGAAATCAGAAAAAAGATCCTACTAACAAGCTCAAGAGGCGGCAAGGCTAAAGATATTCAGACTAATCACAGAAAGTGTATGCCATTCTTGCAACTTCACTGAACCTACAACCCATTTCACATGCACTAACAATTTAAGAACTATAACACTGCAGGCCCATCCAAAAAAAAAAAGGGAAACACTAGCTACTTCAGTTGAAACTCATCCCTATCATCTCTCCACCTTAGTTGCCACTACTTCGCTTCAAATGAAAGGAGCGCACAAAAGAAATGAAAGCACTTGTGTAGCTTTTGGAAAACCCTCTGCTCTTAAAAGAGCTTATAACACAACCCACAACCAGCTAATAAGATAACTCCACAACAATACTAAGGAAATTACTTAGGTAGTAGCATGTCCAATCTCCTACTGACTAGTAATATCTTTGCGTACAGGAATTGATTGCTCATAGGCCATAGCTTTAAAAGATGTTAAATCACTAGCACATGGAAATTCACAGAAGTAGGCTCATCAAGCACATAAACAGAAAATGCACTCAAATTCATTTCACTCCCAAAGTCAAACTCATCAACAGAAAAGGCAGAAAGAAAGTTGAATTGGCATTGATAAATTCCCCATCTAATTATGTTTTGGTGTAAGACACCATAAGAGAGTAATATAAGGTTGATTATCATGTTAATTGAGAATAAGAGATCTGCAATTGTTTCTCAGATTAGCATACTACTACACTACTACGTTACAGCTATCCCTCAAAACCTTGAAGGCAAAAGTATGTATTTGATCATTCGCTTGTCCCAACAAGAATAATACAAATACCACACTTCAGCTTCGAAACAAGGGCCTTTGCACCTTGTCAAATCTAGAATATAAAGAAATTGCAATCCCCAAATGAAGGCTCTTCTTTGAGTTAGACGTGACTCATAGGTGATAGTTGCACACTAGTCTGTATTTCAAAACATTTTATTCATGAAAAGCAATGTCATTATTAAAACCAGGCATCGCAAAACTGCCCCCAGGGATTTGGTCAAGTGGTAAAAGCATATCGCATGATATGTGGGCTAGGCGCACGTCACGGGTTCGAACCCGGCCACAGACAAAAGCCTAGTATTTAAGTTGAGAGGGGTAGAGGGGCGGCTCCCATATCCAAGTTTCGAGGAAAGTTAACATTTCTTGCATGTTAGACTTGAATGCAAAATATACATCATAAATGGATATACCTGCTCAAGGTCATGTCCATCTAAATAGATGTCATCTCCAAATTCAACTTCATCAACAGCCTCCTCCTTGGGAACAATTTCTAATTCATCATCCTCCCATTCCTCCTCAACAAAAGGTGCCCCATACTTTTCCCCATTCTTTGGCCCTGCACCACTCTTCTGGAAGATTCTACATAACACGAATGCATCCTTTGCACCAAAAAGCGGAGGAAGAACATAAGAGAAGGGAAAAAAGTAAATATAAATTACAAAATAATAAGCATCATCTTGCTCAAGAATGTAAGCCAGCTCGCAAAAATCAGGAAGCAAGGGGTGGGGGTTTGATGGAGGGAGAAAATTATCTCCTTCTAGCTTCCTGATAGAAAACAGAGTTCACTATTTATCTTCAATCTCCCTCCATTTCCCTGCAGCACCAGGTTTAGGAGAGGGGTTGAGAGACACAGGAAGCATTGAATTGAACAAGCACAACCACAGGTTCATATGATCTCACCTGAGCAATTCCAGCTTTATCCAACTCCTCATCAATTAGTTTGTACTCATGCATAACCCAATTAGTCCTCTGACCTTTTGGAGCCCGACCACTATGATAAACTAGGGTCTTCTTCATCCCGACAACCTTAGACTTATGATGGACAGCCCTGTCCTTTCCAGTTGTCTTCCAGTAGCCTCGTTTCGTCGCCCGATTGGTCTTTGCTCCATTACCATGCTTCTTATCAAGCATGCTAAAAAAGTACCATTCCAGATCTCTTGTTTTCAGCCTTGACATACCTAAGACACCGATAACATTATGCTAAGCTTAATCTAGAGCTCATGAATATATAAAGACAAATTCAGTGAAAGCATAATCAGATGTTTTATAAATGAATCCACAACGGTTTACAAGGTTGTGATTTATAACTCTGTACAATAAGATTGGAGAACTATGGTCCAACATGCCATATATACAAAAGAGTGTTGTGAACATATTTTTGAAGGATAAAATGACCCGAAATGCTATAAAAATAAAAAGAGAAAAAAGATAAGAATATACTCTAGATACTCAGCTAAAAAATTAATAGGTTAATTTTTACCAGACAAACCGAAAATACTTATGTAAATATTAGTCCTTTGGCTCATAATCCACGTTCATACTGTACATATTATACATCATTGATCAACGTAGATGCATAAAGGTAGGTGCTGCTGACAAAACATAGGCATAGACACGACTGAGCACTCTGAATAGAAATTTGAATCACAAGTCAATCTCCTAACTTTCAATTGAACATTAAAAATTCGAGTAGGAAGCGGAACAAGTCTCAAAATCTGGAAAACTAAATGAAACCAAACCTATTTTGCTAGGAGGCAAATAAGACGGGTCAGAACTAATTTGGTGATCTTCTGAAGGAACAGCTCCCACACCAGTTTAAAAATGCTTATCATGCGAACTAACAGTTCTATGTTAGTTGAGACGTGAAGCTGAGTGAAGAACTATAGGCCTTCAAGCTATAAACAGAAAGTGTAAAGAGAGAAGAACTACCAAAAATTCTGGGAGATGAAATCTTGTTCATTTAAGACGGAAATTTACCACTCAAGAAATCAATCCTCAATCCCAAATTAGTTGAATTTGCCTATATTCCTCTACATCCATTCCCTATTCGGTGTCTAGAGAATTTATTACTCCCTCTATCCCTATTCGGCGTCTAGACTTTTGAGAGACTTTTGATGCAGTGATATATATAGAAGTAATTTAACTTTAAATATTCCATTCTATCATTATTGATAAGACTTTATAGCCATACAAATGTCTATGACATGTTTTATACCACAGACTCTCAAAAGTCTTTCTTTCTTTTTTAAACTCCGTGTCCCATCAAAAGAATTGCGCTTATATGGCACACTTTTCTTTGTAGGATGTGTCAAGAGGAATGACACTTTTCTATATCTAGGAACAATTTCGCTTTAAACTTCTCATTCAACCCAAAATGAAATGATTTATAACTACAAAGATATCTATGACATGATTTACACCACATGTTTCATAAGTCTTTCTTTTTAAAACTCCGCGCCTAGTCAAACAATGTCATATAAAATGACACGGAGGAAGTATATCAAGTCAAAGGCGAAGCTAGATCATTAGCTACGTGTTAGAACAAACGCAATAACTTTGCTTATACATGGTATTAGTATTAGAAAATTCATTAAATATGTATAAATACTTAATTATGAATCCATTAACTTAGACAAGCTATGAATTTGGTGGTAAGTTAAGAATCCATACACACTTCAAATCCTGTCTCTGTATAAAGATCACGTAATGGTCAAATGTACACAGCGAATAAATTCATCTTGTGTGATTTCATAGATCTGTCAATAATACTAATTCACCATGAACAAGTAAACACTAAGAATTTGCGGCAAATATTTAGCAAATGAAAACATGAAGGAAAAAAAGAAGGTTCTAGAAAGAAGGAAGGTTTTTTTTTACCAGGAAGGTCCCATGGTTCAACTTTGTAGATATCGATCTCCGATATTGCATCAAATCTCAAGGGTTTCCCAATAATCTTTCGCCGGAGATAGTACCGCACCAATTCCTCATCCGTCGGGTGAAATCTGAACCCCGGCGCCAACAAATTCTTCGACCGCCTTGATTCCATCAACCGCCGATTAAAAAAAAAAGATNTATATTTATTTATTAAAGCAAGAAATTTATCATATATAATTGACATTATGGTTAAGCCAACTGACAAGCTAATAAATGTCAATAATATATGGTAACTTTATTCTATATTTGATTAGATAATTTTGAATTTATAGATAAAGTTCTAAAATTCAAATTTAAATTAAAAAAAAGTTGTTTCTTTTTTCTTCTTGAAGAATATTTATTTGAAGAGTCAATTTGCATAAATGGACATCAAACAAATAACAAAATTTTGGCTATACAATTGATCATTAATTTCAATTTAGCACATTCAAGGAATTGAAGAGTATAAACTGAAACCCCTTCATTGAGTTGTAGTCAAGCCAATATTGCAAGGGTATAATATTTTTTTCGTTGAAGAATATTAGTTTTGAATCATTAGATTATGTGAAAGGTTTTTTTTTTTCAAACTCAACAAGAGATAAATTGATTTCTAATTGATAGTTTCTATAGCGACTTTTAAGTGTAACAAAGAGTATATATAAAGAAAAAATTGGTATGACGTGAAATATTTTTTTTAAAATATAAACAAATTATTTCGAAAAAACTCTTTACTTTTTGTTAATTCAAAGATAATAAAAAGATAAGATATTTTTGAACATTAGTAGAGAGTTCTAAAATTATTATAATAGAAGTTATATAATGGATAACCTCAAAAATCGGAAATCTTATGGAATATTTACATAATATCCGGTCATATTTATTGTTTACTTTTTATAGATAATATAAATAGATGATATACCGACAACACACGATTATACACATATTATATATGGATTATATATAAATTACACAATATTCAATTTTTTAATTTAAGTGGTTAGGTGAACACCTATTTAGGCTGATTAGATAAAGCCAAAAGAAAAATATGAAATAATTTCAACCAAAGACTAAAAATATAATTAAAGTTCATATGTAGACAATTTTTATTAAAACTCATCCTTTTATGGTGAAATAAATCAATTTTTTGTAGCAAAAGAAATATTGACACTAAAAATAAGATAAAAGAAAATATATATTGAAAAATTGTTAGTAAAATCTAAAAACGAGAAATAAAAGATGACAACAAATTTCTTCTTATGTTTCATCTTTGTTGAGTATAAAAATTTTGAAAGTTAATCTCATCGATTTCAATTTTTTTTCCAACTCAAATACATAGATTACAAGATAATAAGGATATCTTAGAATATTTTTTTTTAATTTACATTATGTGTCGTTTTTAAAACATCACTATTACTAACAAACTGATATGATATTCGAATTTGAATTAGAATGCAATTTGAGTAGTTTGCATTGAGGTTAAGCCAAGTATGGTGTCGAAAAATAAACTACTTGACAATTTTAAGACAATATATGCAATGTTTTATACTAATAATCAACTAATTTAACATTTAGTGATTCAAAGAACAAATTTTTTGTATATATAGGGTATTAAAAATTCAAATTACGGGGCTAGAGATATCGATAAACTTAAAGTGGAGTCATACTGAAATAAATCCGGTCAAAGAATCATTTAAATTTTTAGATAGCCGATTAAAGTAAATTTTAAATTAAGGATAATATCTTCACTTGCATCATTATAAAGATAATCATTATTATAATATATATAAAGTTTTAGAAATTACAATTTCAAAATAGAAATATTTTTTGAAAGATAAAATCATACCAAATAAGAGTTCAAGTCGTAGTATAAGAGTCACGTCGTAATCAAAAAATCGTTTATATTGTGTCAACCTTTGTGCTTTGCCATAAATATAAGTTATTATTTCACTTTGTGGCTATTTTTAGGTTCCAATGAGACCTATGAGAATAGTGCAAAATAAAATTATCACTACGAGAATTGAGAAAATGTTAGTCTTTTTTCATGTAGTGTTTCTTAATTAATATCTGACGATTATCTGTAATTATTTAGAAGGTTTAAATGTTAAGATTATTTACATATAATTCAAATAACTCGGATATTTAACATGGTTAATATCAGATATCAAAATGGAGTAAAAAAATTCACTAGCTAAAGAATTTTTATATTTTTAGATAGCCAACTAAAATGAGTTTTGAATTAAGAATAATATTTTCAATTACATTATTATAAAAATAATTATTATTGAAAAATAATGTTTTAGAAACTGAAATTTTAAGAAAGAAATAGTTTATAAGAGATATTAACACACCAAATAAGAGTTCAAGTAGTAGTAAAAGAGTTAAGTCTTATCCAAAGAGTCATTCATTGTCTCAACTCAACATTTGATTGTTTTGCCATAAATATGAGTTATTGTTTTGCTTCCTGACTATTTTTAGGATCCAATAATACCGGAAAGAATGCTATCAAAAAAGAAAAATAAAAGAAATGGTTTATTTTTTTCATGTACTTAATATCCAATAATTACCTATATTTATGAAAAAGTGTAAATTTTAAGATTATTTATCTACAATTCAAATAACTTAAATATTTGACATGATTAGTGTCTGCGCATCCGCGCGGGTACTAATACTAATATAGATAAAATTAGGTAATTCCTTCTTTTCACTTTGGGGAGATGTTTGACCGGACCTAAATTTAATCTTTTTTCTAAAAAAAAAAAAATATTCTTAACATGTAAGTCAAGCATATGTAAATTGCTTTAGGGATCTTTTGGTGTACACGAATAGTACTAAATATGGTATATTTATAATATTGAGATTGGTGTTGAGATTAGTTATGTTGAAATTAATTATGCTAAGATTCTTTTTTATCGACTATTTAGTTTGGTATATTAAAAGCTTTAAAAAGGCAGTTATGTCTATATACATGCTTATCCATGTATTAAAACCATATTGCTAATGCCAGAGAATGTATAAGAATAATAGTGAATATGGTATATAACTAATACAAGTATTAATTATATGTAGGTAGAAAATACTGCCAAAGAAGAAATTAATAATAACAAAGCTAATGCATATGTTATTTTTTTTTGAGATCGAACATGTATTATTTTCCATAATACATCCTACCAAATGACCCATTAAAGTTCATTCATCGACCACATGCTATGTAGTTTATTTCCTTAGGAAAAAAAATAATTAAGCGAACCCTAGAAAGTCATGTTATTAAAGATATTACAGATAAGATGAAAATATGAAGATTAAATTGTTGGGACATATACTATTAACCATGAGTTTGATTTAGATATAATATTTATTACGAAACAATTGTTTATTCAATTTTAATAAAGTTTTAAATAGATCATATATTAGTCCGTGTCCTTTGCTTATATAGTAGATGATTTAGTGTATAGAGTTTAGCTTATATACGGAAGATTAAATCATCGGTTCTTATAAGTATAAAGTTTGAGTTCACAATCTAATGATGGAATTGGACAAACCATCAGGAATGATTGTAGCACAAGATTAAATATAATTTATCTTGATTATGGGAATGGTTTAATTCCAACTTCTTGTGCTAATACATTTTGTATGTATTGAACGGACCAGGNTTTTAATTCCTTTTTAATTCAATGGTGGTGGGGTGACTCCCCATGGTCCCCATGATTAAATACTAGTCATATAATAGGTTTACACATTGGCTATTAGCAAATAGACGTGTTGTTGTATTGAATTCAATAATAGAGGTGTAAGATTTTATTGACTAGGTCTTGCAAGGTATAATTGATATTGTGTGATGATATAATTATTTTGTAAGAAAGTAAAATTCTCTATTTGATATCCTGGATGACTAATGATTGGAGCGTTTGGCATATTTGTGCATAAAAAATTTCTCAAATTTAAGTTTATGTTTTCATGCCCTACGTGATTATTAGTTTTGGATTTTCTATGAAGAGTTTTTTGTTCTCTGATTGGAGGTTCTAATTAAGTGAAATATGACAGTATTTTGTNTCTGAATCTTAATATGGGGAGTTAAATAAGATTTAATGGATGAATTTCGAAATTGGATAAGGAGTACAATTACGGATTTTTAGTGGAATAATTCGTAATTAATTATGGTAGATATTAATTTCGAAAATTAGAAATTAATTCCATAATTTAAGCCTTGTTAATTAAATTATGTGGTCCCTACTGTGCCTAAATAATAAGAAATAAAGGAATTATTTTTCTGGTGGAAAAGAAAACCCAACAGGTTTTAATTCCTTTTTAATTCAATGGTGGTGGGGTGACTCCCCATGGTCCCCATGATTAAATACTAGTCATATAATAGGTTTACACATTGGCTATTAGCAAATAGACGTGTTGTTGTATT